CAAGCTGCTGCTATCATAGGCTGGTGAGTTCGGTAAGATGATCGTATACTACCGAGATGAAAATAACAAATAAAAAACATTCCATTTTCGTTCATTGTAAATGTTAGCCTGAACAAGCGTGGGGCTGGGTTACCAGGGTGAACGAGAGATTGATTGATTGATGGATGGATGGATGGACGGATGGATGGGGTCACCTTTACACGTTTTCATTCGCTAAAATATAATAAGGTTTTATTCGGGATATTTCTTGCTGATTTACAGTCACACTTTATGTTGATGGTTCGGGCGTTTAGTATAAACGAACGAACCAAAAAAAAAAAAAAAAATCTATGTGCACACATTGATTGATCACCAAACTAATTCATAGAATATAATAACTAATTCATAGAATATAATAAATCAAACCTATTTACGGTTGGATTTCTCTGTTGAAGCCGAGATGTCACCATCTCACAAGATAAAAAAAACTTGTTTCGAACATTTTAATCCATTATTGCGGTGTGTCGTGTGATAATTCGGACCGGAGTGTCGATTTGGGCAAAATGCGAACCGTGTACAAGATACAATTTCATGAGGCGTTTCGTCACTCGTTGTCTCACCCACTCATTTTGCTTTTTGTTTGTGTATCTGACTCAGGTGACCGACCTCGTTTTTCTCGTTCAGGTGATCCGAAGACCATTCAACAAAAGCGCCCCACACCCAACCAACCAACCAATGGAAGATCTTTTCAGTGATTGGGAAAAGCTCAAATCCCTTTGCTCAGGAGAAGTTCGGTGATACATCTTGATCCGCACAGATGACTAATTTAGGTTGTTCAATAGCAAGCGTATCATTGTAACTTTGTCAATTATATACTTACTTTATCGAACCACGAGTCGCAACTCTGTCCAATGAGAATTGATCGATGGTTCCATCAGCCCAAGACAAGAAATGATGGTAGTTTTATTAACAAACAACCAACCGTGAGACTTTATCAACCAGGTATTTCCACTAAATAGAACAGGCGCGCGTGAGTCGGTGATTTTAACGAATGCACGGACGACACTTTAAATTGTCGAGGTGCTGTACATGCGTACGTAACGTACATACGTGCTCACGCACGTACGCGCACACACACGCACGCACGCACGTATCCGTATCTGACATACGTGTCAAAAAGCTATGAT